AGCAACCCAGGTGCCCTTCAACCTCTGATTTTTAGCAAAACATTTCTTCAGTTATTATATGCCATCTTTTCTAGAAACCAAGTCCTACTTTTTTTTTTAGAGAGAGATTTTATTTATTTGAGAGAGAGGGAGCACCTTCGTGCACATGCGCAAGGTGGGGAGGGGCAGAAGGGGAAGCAGACTCCCCACTGAGCAGGGAGCCTAATGTAGGGCTGGATTCCAGGATCCCGGGATCATGACCTGAGCTGAAGTCAGATACTTAACTGCCTGAGCCACCCAGGCGCCCCAAGTCCCACTTTTTTATATGAATGCTGCCCAGAACTGAAAATACTAAAGTTAATCTAACTAGATTAGAGAATTTTAAAAGTTGCCTTTTTTGCTCTAGATTCTAGATACTGTACTTGTGTTCTTGGCAGGCAAGGCACGCAGCTGATTCATGTGGGAATCTGCTCATGTCCCTAGATTTTTTTTTCCAGATAAACACCAAACTAGGGAAATTTCACCTTGTAATGTTATAACCTTTTACAAACTCATTTTAGTGACTGAATTGAGTGTACTTTGCATAAATTTATTCTTGACTTTATTAGACACAGGCTATTTTTTCCCATTATGGTGTAAATTCTACTACAGTAAGTATTTTTATGAATAACACTCAGTTTAGGATTTCTTGATTTACTTTAGAGAAAAATGTAATAGATTTTTAAGGTTCTTGATTTAAATTGATAATTGGCACTTTCCAGGTAGGTTTACCAATGTAACTTTTTACTGTTTCACTATACTTGGTAACTTTATTTGGAAAATAAGGTGTTTTTTTGATAACTTGATTTTGTGATTTGTGTCCCTCACTTTCATTGAACATGGATTTTAGAAAGTGAAGCCTTTGAAGAGGCTTTGTGGGGAAAATACAGAGCAAGAAAATAAAAACTAAGAAAAGGTCAAATGTTTTAAAAACAGGTTTTTACATGAGGCTGTGGCTTTTTATTTATTTATTTTTGTTCATTTTTTTTGCATGGGAACTCATTTAAAATTAAAGTTACTTGGGCGCCTGGGTGGCTTAGTCATTAGGCGTCTACCTTCAGTCAGGTCATGATCCCAGGGTCCTGGGATGGAGTCTCGATCGGGCTCCCTGCTCAGCGGGGAGCCTGCTTCTTCCTCTTCCTCTCCTGCTCCCCCTGCTTGTTCTCTCTCTCTAATAAATAAAATCTTTTTTTTTTTTAAAGATTTTATTTATTTATTAGAGAGAGACACAGTGAGAGGAGCATAAGCAGGCGGAGTGGGAGAGGGAGAAGGAGGCTTCCCGCTGAGCAGGGAGCCTATGCAGGGCTCGATCCAGGACCCTGGGATCATGACCTGAGCCGAAGGCAGACGCTTAACGACTAAGCCACCCAGGCGCCCCTCTAACAAATAAAATCTTTTAAAAATAAAAAATAAAGTTACCAAGGCAGTTTCATATGTACATTTTTACTTCAAGCATGAACTTTTGAGACATCAGGAAAATTTGTAGATTACTGTGTAGGTTAGTGTTAGCAACTGTTGCTAAGCTCGAGAACATTCCTGTGTGTGTGCTGCCACACTGTGTCATTAATGGGAATTGCACCTTTATTTCACAGCTGCAGGCCAAATTTGAACACCTCAAAAGAGTTCACCAAGAAGAGAGAATGAAGCTTGAAGAGAAGAGAAGACTCTTGGAAGAAGAAATAATTGCTTTCTCAAAAAAGAAAGCTACCTCAGAGATATACCAGAACCAGTCCTACATGGCATCGGGCAGCAACCTGAAGAAGGACAAGGACCGTAAGAAGTAAGCTATTCCCAAAACCCCCACTCTGGTGGTCCCCTCCCCCATTACTTTCTGTTTCATTGCCCTCTTTGATCTTGTGCTTATCACAGTCTGTTTCCTTATTATCAGGCTCTGGCAACTAAAATGTCAGCTTCTTGAGAGCAGAGACCTGTTCCTCTTGTTCACTGCTATTTCCCCAGCATCTAGCACATATTAGGTGCTCAGTAAATATTTGCCAAAATGAGCAAATGAATGAATGAACAAAATATATCATAATGTAAAAAGGCTCATTTACCTGAGGGGAAAAATGGCTGCTCTTATTTCATTGTCCAGCCTGTGTTTCTAGCACACATCTAATAACTGCTGACCTACCGTTAGTTATGTTAAATTTCATGTCTAAATGGAAGCTATATACTTTGTTGGGGAATCATAGAAGTAAAATAATATTTGATAAGAAAAATTTAGTTCATTTTTTTAACAAATTCTACTGATGATGATTTTGTGAGAATTTTTATTTTAATAAGGGAACCAGGCTATCGATTCGAACTCCTGTGCTTTGATGTCAGAGCTTGTGAAACCAATGGTGGACGTAAAGATGCAGAGGAAGGTAGAGAGGGCCCCTGTACAATGGGGCGGCCATGAGTAGCATTTGGATGATAATCTCAAGACTTATAGGTTTGGGGTATGTGTTAAAATCAAAGTTACCAAAGTTTTAGAAAATAAGTTTTTTTTCCTTTTCTATACTTTATGTCCTTTATTTCTCCCACTTAAAATGTCCGTGTCCTTTTGCCTATTTGACTGTTCTTGAAATTCATCACTGACTTGTTTTGTTGAGTGCTTCTTGGTGACTCTTTGCCTTAGTTTACTCCAGCTACCTCTGTTTTGGCAGCATCTAGCTCTCCTTTTGTTCCTCACAGAGCAACATTTCTGGTTTAATTTTATTATCACATCTTATTTCAAACCCAGCATTTTCAGAATACTATAATTTAACTTAAAAATAATTAGGAAAATATGATGTTGGCCCATGGCAGCTTTCCATTTTTGAACTATGGAGAAGTAAATCCACAGAGTTTGGGTGGGTTCAACTGACCTGTGGATTTAATGGTTTGTGGGGAGAAGAAAAGGAATGAATTCTCACATCTGATCTTTCAATATAAGTTCTACATGGGCATGGATCTTGTTTTGTTCATTGATGCATCCATCCCCAGAGCCTAGAACAGTGCCTGCTATATAGTGGACATGTAATTATTTGTCAAAAGAATGAATATGACTTTTAATAGTTATGTTTTATTCAATCATTGAATTTCAAATGATAAACTATAGTTTATGACTGCTTTAAGATATGCTTTGAATTATAAAGCTAAGGGACCTTTTACCTGTTCTTATCCTTTCACCTCAATCCAGTGTTACTAAAATTGGATTCCCCAAGTTTCTTCCATATATGAAAGACAGTTTACATTTGCTTTGTAAAAATTGTTGCCCTGCTCCACTTAAAGACCACTGTTAGCATGTGCTCTTGTTTATAAAGTTGGGGCCAAGCCCATAGTTTTTTTGAGAGCTCAAAAGAATTCATATTCAAGAAAATGGAGTTTGATTTTTTTTTTTTATTTTCCAAAGATATCTATAGTATATTAGATGTATATTTGCTCTTTCTGTAAAAGTTTACCTTGTAAAACTAATGATTCTAGTAATTTTTATTTCCTATGTAGTTTTTTTTTATTGTACCAATCAAAAGGTTTTTTCTTCTCTTTCCAGCTCCAATTTTATGTAAAACAAAGGTTCCAGATCACAGAAGGTCATCACAAGCAAAAATTATTAAAATGTTAGAAGTATACTTTGATTTTCTTGCT